AAATCCATGAGGAAAAGATTATTAAGATATTGTTGGACAAAATACAAATGATTAGACTTTATTAAATTACATACATCTCGCTTACAATGATTTACATCCACACACTTCCTAAAATTATAATGAGTAATAGTACATCCACTGCCAGTAAAAAAATATACTATCGTTATATGTACATTATTGAATTTCAACAAGACATCAAATTGCATTAACTATTCTTAAAAGTATGGCAAATTTCCGTTATAAGAAAATCGCTTTTGTCTCAATAGCTCTTCGAACATATGTACACATTTATAATTGTGATCAATATGTACAAGAAAACTCTGGATTTGATATATATTTTTTGTCTAGAAAAACTTAAATTCTTTCTAACAGTATTAACGTGCGAGTTATATTAATTGTCATTTACGAAAGAATTTTGACGAGTTCGATTGTACCAAAGTTTGGGATATATTTATATCACAGGTGTCTTCTTGTATAATGAGAAGGTGTATGACACTATGACACTGGGCCTAAAAATCTATCCTTTTGCTACACTAGTATTAAATACATACTTTATGCAAATACTGTGTGCAATATCAAATTTATTGTATGTAAAATAACGAGGTGTTATTTCCTCTGTAAATTACCTACATGTTCAAATTTTTATGCAATTGTCAATACATAATGTTAAACCTAAAATTTTATTTCATTTACGTATGATTACTTAAAATAATCTCCGACTATTCGTGCTATCCTTAGAAGCATACAGTTTATCAGTCTATAAAATGCAACAACAACGCGTAACAATGCGCCACATGATTTATACGACTTATTAAAGTATGCACGCTACGCAATGCTTTATTTATTAATGTATATGTACGTGTCCCAATTGATTCTACGGTGAAATATTGTAAGATAAACATGACGCACAATTACAAAAATAATAAGTAAAAATAAAAGATTTATATCAATCTTAGCATTTATAAAAAAAATGGTTTTGAGGATACTGTTTTCTTTGATCAGAATTTTTACGAAATATAAAGTGTGGCGCTAAAATAAATTTCTCAACAAAAAAGAAATTAAAATAAATTACAAATACTGAGGTTGTAGAATAATATAAGAGAGTACAAACGTAGTATAAATAATTAAAAAAAGACAAAAAAATCGTGGTATTCGTGAGTTCTTTAATGTAGTCTATGGATGGCTTCGTTAGGTTCAAATTAAGTTTCACAGGTAATTGACTTTCTTATGACTTTAGGATAATCAATAATTTGGAAATTTGATTGTTATAATTGCGTTATTACACGAGGTACATCATCGTGTTATCGATTTATATTTATAAATTAACGCTTGGCGGCCATCTTTCTTATTATAAATTCCATTACAAGCTATCTATCAATAATTAAACATCCTATGTATTATCAACCGTAGAAATAGTTACCTATCTGTTTCTCGTTTATACTAATTTATATATCTAAAGTATCTTTTAATGGCAGCTTTGCTACTTCAAAGAATATCCTAAAATGAGGAATTGTTTTATGACTTAGAACTTAGGGAAAAATATAGAAATTTGTATGGCTTACTTGTGACTGTATTTGTTGCGGACAGTAGTTAAAGCTTCTTTGTGTTTCCGATGTAGTCCTTGATTCAAAACGTGTACAATGTTCCGTATGTCGTCAACTTTATAACCACTATAATATTCTAAGGTCGAGGTCCATCCTCCTAAATCTTTCATCTGTAATGCAAGTAGTAGTGCAGCCGCGGCCATTTTACTGTCGCTAAACATTATTGTCGAATAATCCATCAATGAATATTCCAAAATATATCGAGCTAATGTTAACGTTGGCATTGACACTTTAGCGCACTATTTAAAAATAATGTTTATTAAAATTTGAAATGTCATTATAAAAGTTCATCGTGAAAAGATAAAAGAACTCACCCTTGCATATCGTCTAAGAAACCTGTACGAAAGAGGTATACCAAGATCAAAATCAATCACTTTTAACACACTAATTTCCATTCTAATCAATTCTCTTTGAGAATAAGCACCGTCACATATATACAAAAAATCGTCGATCATAGGTGGTATCCTTTCCTATAAAGATTATAACAGAAGATTGAACAACGAACAAGTTGGAAGAGAAAGTTTAGCAACGAACAACTTCTATTTATTAATGATACTAACGTCGTATTTACTAGCTATGAAAAGACTTGCAGCACCTAATAACTGTAATGTTTCTTTTCCAACAGTTATTTTGGTCAGGTACAGGTCAACTAATTTCACAGCCAAATACAAAGTTTCATGATTGAGCTCAAAAGATTCTTGCACTTCAACCATCCAGTCAATTAATAATGCTCTCATCCACCGTGAAAGGCACACCTGCTTTTCCATATAATCTCCAATAGGAAACAAACTTTCTCTGTCCTTCAAATAATTAAAGATATCCATGGCATAATGAGAGACTTGAAATGGATCCAACCAATTTTCCACGTCAAAATCCCATTCAACTCCTCCTGGTAATACTCTTTCAGGGGGTGCATCTAACTTAGCTGTTTCGACTTTTGCTTCAGTCTTTACAGGCTCTTGAATTTCAATCACTGCACTTTTTATTTCTGACTTTTCAGCTTCTTCGGGCTATTTAAATATTTCAGAAATGTTACTAAATGCAAACTAATGCGTTTTAAGACAAAAAATTCTTTACCTGAACACTGCTTTTTCTACCCTTTCTCGACACATCTCCCACATCGTCCAATGCACTTACATACAGCGAACTGTCGTCTGATTTTTCTAAATCTAAACTACGTCTAACATTTACAATCTTCGTAGGTATTTCAATTTTATCATCGTCCTTTTTAACTGGTTTTACGCGAGGAACTGGCTTTGGTTTCTGAGGTACTACCTCCGGTTTGCTAATACCTTTGTCAAGCGTTCGTATGGAACTTGTCTGAGTGAATGGTTTTATTTGTGTAGTAGTGGTAGTGGTTGCTTTCTTTATTACTTTCTTTGGTTCGTGTGTTTGATGTGCACCCAACGTTTTCCCAATTGCCTGTTAATTTTAAAAATTTGTGAACGCATTTACTGTTAAAAGAAGGAACGTTGAAAGTAACTGAAACAACGTACATTAGTAATGTTTCCTAACGCAGATCTCTTGGCTGTTTTCTCTTTCTGTGGAGATGCATCTGCTTTCCTTTTAACCCGAGACTCTTTAGTAACAGGTGCTTTTTGTAAAACATTATTCATACCAGCATTTTGACTTCTTGTTGTTATTCTTTTTCTTCCATTTGTTACATTAGTATTACTTTGTTTAGTTTGCACATTTAAAACTTTTGGTGGTGCCATTCTCATAGATGCTTAAAATTAAATGTTTATTTTCTCCTATGAAGCAAGAAAATATTTTTATTAATCAGATATGACGCTTGCTGCTATTGACATTAATTTTATATTTTGAGCATACACACAAATCAGAACGGTTACAAACAAAAATGTCTTTTACAATATATTACATGTTCAAGTACAGAAATTTTTTTTTAAGAGTATTTGAAATGAGAAAATTTAATATTTTTCGTAATAATATATGTTCAGGACATCACGTACACTATCAACATGTCGAGTATACGTGGCCGAACGATCTCATGCATAGTGATATTTTAGACCCAAAAATATTCCAGGTTTCTTCGTTTATTTGCTTACCTATATGACTTTCTAACACTTTATTAATCACTAGATCGATTTATTGTAAAACTGAAGTCACTTTCTGTCATAAATCGAGAAATTGGTTCACATTCCTCTCATGAATCTTCTCTGAATCGATTCACGGAACGTTATATACACGGTGGGAAAAAAACGCGGGAACACACACCACAGACACACAATAAAATGAAATAGAAAAATACAAGTACGACCATGCTTCAAAATGAAATTCAATAAACTCTGTGAGCACGATTTTATAGCGGAAAAAACGAGGAAACGAAATAGATAGCAATAAATTTATCTCACGACTGCCGTAAAGGCAGGCCATGATGCAAACAATTCAAAACATTCATGATTTCTCTGGAAATTGTATATTTCGGTAAATAGTTAATTTTTTTCTTCAATAAATGAGTTATTCTGATTTACCTGTAGTTACGAATTATGATCTGGTGTGCTCTGGTTCGATGATATCTCTCATTTACGAACTTTTTATTCCACCAAGACGTCGTTATCCTACCCGATCGTCTCACCAGAGCAACTGAAGTTGAAGCTGTTCAAAATATCACAGTTACTGTTAGTTCTGGCTCTGATTGGTCTTGTTCGGTTCACGGAAGCCAATTGGAAACGCGGACATAACACCGAGCGCCTTCATCCGGCGATATATTTTAGTTGATCACTGTTCTGTTATTTCGCACATTATACATTNATGTATATTTAGGTGTTTGTGATAAAAAGAAGCTCTAGCATCCTCGGTATTCGAATAATTGAAAGTGTAACAATAGGAAGATTGTAAAATGGTTTATCTACTTTGTTGTGTTTGTTAACCTAGCTAAATATGATTTTTAGTTTGATATTGTGAGTTTGTTACATACCAAATATATATTATACGCGTATTAAGTATCCCGTTATCCTCACGTGTGCACCATCGTGTGTCGTAACCGATTTTAGTCTCATAAATCAATGATTTTATAAACGACCAAAAATGCAAAGTGAACGTTTCGTCGTTAAATATATAACAGTGAACAACTGCTTCGTCTATTTATCGGACACCTGGCTACGTAAATTGGAAACTAAGGTTGGTGGTTATTGCTTGTTTAATCACTTGTTTACATAGATATACTACATGCAAAACATATGACAATAGATAGAGTATCCAATACGCAAATTGAAACCGATTTGTAGTTAAGTTACTTTATTGACTCGCCAGATGTCGAGATTCATTTTTTCCCACTTTTGCCCATCGCGCCAAACTCGTCGGTCTGCCCACCGATGATTTACCGACTTCGTCGGTGCTATTACCACCGAAAAGAGCGATTACCGACTGCCTTTTCACCCTATTAGACCCCATTCGCTCACCCTCTCTTCCGCGCATCTAATCTTTCTTCGGTAGTATCGCGCAAAATTCATCTAACAAAAATTTAAATCTTGATTACCGAATTTTCAAAAATCAAAACTCAATTTTTTAATTTTTAGTAATTAAAAAACTATTTCATATTTAATCTTAGTCGATTAAGAAATTAAAGACATTTATTACTTGAAACACTTTTCATTTCAAACATTTAAAGCGATTTATGTAAAACTTTTAAGTAAAACAATTACAGGAAAATGTGATTGAAATAGCACACAGAGATAAGATTTATTATATGTCTTGCAACGTAAGACCGTATGAGAACAAAATGTTGTGCCTTAGCACAACGTTTGCAAGAAGTTTAAATATTGACGAAGGCGACGAAGTGTTTGTATCGTTGGTAAAAGATGTTCCAGTTTTGACAAAGATTTATGTTGCACCTTTAAGCGCGAATGACAGAGAAATTCTGGTACGTGTAACGAAAAGAGATTTGCATTTTAAATCTTCGATTGCCTACGATGAGATAGTAATTTTTATAGGAACTGCAAATAGAAAAAGTACAATCGACACTGCTTAGTCAAATTCGGGTAGTAGCCGTGACGCAGCCGATAGTCGCGTGGGTTTCCAAATTTTCTTCGGTAACGTTAATCGTAGGCAAGTATTATTTATTAGTTTCACAATCTTCAAGTCATAGATCGTGATTTAAGAAAAATTAGAAAATGCTGCTCAGTGAAAAACAGCAAGATTTCTCTTCCTTTCCACAGATTCGCTCGAACCTCCCGTCAAGTGTGGAAGGCTCGAGCAATTTTCAGAAATCCACGTTGCGGATACAATAGCAAAGACAAAGAATGATACTTCAATAAAGAAGAACCGCAGCGAGTCATCCAGTATCACAAACAATTTGCTGTCTATGTTCGGGAGGCTCTTACCAAGTCAGGAAAGTGATACAATTAGAACCCACGAACTTGTACAGAGCTTCCGTAACAGAAAAAAGCTTTTGGTGTATCGCGTTCATCCGATGCCGAGAGCGATCGTAGCCGGGGAAAACGCATACGACGAATACGCGCGTTGCCCTTACCACGTTTTCATCCCAACGAATCAAGTGCCAAAATTCACTAACGATTTCGCGGTTTATCGAATGAAAAAGATCTCCGAGGACAAGCAACACGTGAACGTAAATAGCACGAATTTTCTCATGAAGAACGAGTCGTCTGTTCCAAAGCTTTCCACGGAATTGTTAGTAAGGGTGTTCCTATTGGAACATTTGCTGGAAAAGGCCTCCGCGTTAGATAGGGAATATTTTAATATTAATTCCGATCACAGAAGCGTATACGTATCGGACAGTTTGAGGATTAGTTTGGGTTTAAAAGTAGGCGCGAAAGTGAGTCTGCAATTGGTGAACTCCTTTGAAAAAGTTGTTCCATCGTCCATCGAGTTATTCTCGTGGAGAGAATCGGTATCCGTAGAAAATTTCAAGAATTACGTTAAAGCGCATTCCGTTTACAAAGAATTATGGATTAATTCTCAGGCTGCCATCGTCATGGACGATGGAAGTCTTTGTGTAGTAAAAATTTCGCCAGAAAATTATACGTATACTATGATCGATGAGAAAGATTTAGACAAAGTGAGACTGCACGCGCGATCGGTCAAGGAGAAGAGCGATTTGCGAGTGACTGAACATTTAGATCAAGAATATTCTCGTTTAGAAAAAATATCCACGAGGTATGAATATCGTCTTCTCTTTTATTAGATCCTAACTCTCCATTCTTTCGCGTTGAAAGGGAATCATCGTTTGTTTTAGACATTTGAAGACTATTTTAGCGGATTGCCAGCTCGCGTTAGATCTTAGTCTAGGTTTGCGAACACGATTACCATTCAAATACGATCCAGAGAATATTTTAATCTCCGGAGAAGCTGGTTCGGGCAAGACTACCGTATGCAAAATATTAATAGAACATTTGCGAAATCCACCTTATTTTGTACATACACACATGATCGATTGTAGATCTTTAAAAGGTTCGATCACTGCGAATATAATTATTTAGGGAACTCTCCCTCAACTTTTTCATTATATCTGCCTTTCCCTTCTAATAGGAAAGAAGGCTGAGATGTTGCAGAAAATTGTTACCACTGCTTTAACCGAATGTATTTATTATCAGCCTTCAATATTGTTCTTGGACGATATAGAGTCGATCACAAATGCGTCGATGAACGACGAAGAGAAAACGCCGGACGCTATAAATGCTGCCAGGTAGATACGTCATTTTACAATTTCGAGACACGTGTAAACGCGTGCATCGATTTTTTTCTTAACAGGCTCACGGATATGTTGATTAATACCGTGACGCAATGCCAAGAAATGTATCGGGTATCGATGATAGCCACGTGTACAAGCGTTCATAGGATAGGACAAAAATTAAGACCTGCCAGAGGTTGCCAATTTTTTAGAACCGTTCTCACGATTCCTAATCTCGAAAAGGTATTTTCAAAATCGAATATATAATTTAACGCACAGTCAATTAAAATTGCGATTAACACTTTCGTGTACGACACGACTTGCCGTTTCAAATTAGTCGGATAGAATGGATGTTTTGCAATTAATGCTCGGGGACAAGTTGTACGTGCCTGGAGATGTGAATTGGGATTACTATGGAAACAAGACGGAGGGATGGATGATCCAGGATCTCGTAGACGTAGCCGAGAAAGCTGCGTTCGGTGCCTGGAAGCGTTGCGGTAACAATGTCTACGATAATTACTCATTCTAATTACCCGACGTATGCAGATTATTAAAAAAAGTCTCTTAACACCGTTTTGTCCTGAAAAAAAAGGAAATACAAAGCCGCCGATCGTGATCGCCGAGGAGGATCTCGCGGTCGCTCTGAAAAATTGCACGCCGATGTCTTTGCAAGGCGTGCAATTGTACAAAGGCGTGGGTCACGTTTGGTCGGACATAGGTGGCTTGGCCGAGGTGAAAAAATCTCTAATAGAAATATTACAATGGCCATTGAAATATCCCGATGTGTTCAAAAATGCGCCGGTCAAATTGCAAAATGGTGTTCTGTTGTACGGAATGCCTGGAACGGGGAAAACGATGCTTGCCAAAGCGATAGCCAACGAGTGTGGCGTTAATCTAATTAGCGTCAAAGTATGAATAAAAATATGAATTTTATTGATTTCAATGTCGTGTATAAATAACTATTTTAGGGTCCTGAATTGCTGTCCAAATATATCGGTGTTAGCGAGGAATCCGTTAGAAATGTATTCGAACGGTAAACATTATTATTAAAAGTTTTATATGACAATAAGGAAATTTGTATTAACATTTAAATATTGCCATAGAGCTCTTCGTGCCAAACCAAGTGTTCTCTTTTTTGACGAATTTGATAGTCTTGCTCCCAGGTAAAAATTAGGATATAATAAATATATTTACGGATCGTCCTGCAATTTATTCATATTTATTGGAACTTGCTATAGACGAGGTCACGATAGTACTGGAGTCACCGATAGGGTAGTAAATCAACTATTAACACAAATGGACGGGGTTGAAGATAGGGAAGGTGTAGTGGTTGTGGCAGCTTCTTCGAGGCCGGATTTATTGGATCCAGCACTTTTGAGACCCGGCCGTCTCGACAAAGCTTTATACTGCCCGCTTCCAGGCGAAGTACGTAGTTTTCATCTCTAAATTATTTATCATACTCTTCTTTATATGATTGTAAAAATATCTACTCGTCGAATTGGACAGGATGACAGGGAAGAAATTTTAGCTGCTCTGTGCAAAACACAAAAAGTAAACACGGCAGAATTAAATTTAAAAGAATTGGCGAAACTGACTTCGGGATTCACGGGTGCAGATCTCAACGCGGTCGTGACACAGGCCAGGTTATCAGCTTACGAAGATGCTGTCGCGAATTCTTCGGTAAGTAATACATACATATTCTATTGTACGCTGTTATTAAGTACTCGTTACGCGTTCTGAGATCTCCGAAAAGAAGTTGTTTTTCGTTCCTAACGATCGGCTCGTTTTCTTACGCGGAGATTCTTTCCCATATCTCTTGGCCCGCAATAATGAAAAGCATTTTAGCTCGCTGCGAATCATTTGTAGGGAGCTTTCGAAGTAAGATAGTGCGTAATGATGATAATATCGTTAGAGGCGTAATACTCTTCTCCGTTCCCTCACGTCCCCGTGTCTCTCCTATGTATGTTACATAGAACCAGTGTCGAGCTGGCAGCTAGGTATGGTACGGCGATATAACTGAGGAAACGTAGACCAGGTTTATTAGCGCACACCGCCCGAGAGCACCAGCCTTGCTATCCCCCATCTCGCTCCGCTTCATCCTGGCCTACGCCTCGCTGAACGTCGAGGGGGTTATTATCTTATGCGTTATAATGATACACGGTTTAGGGACTGCAGCGGTCCTGTAAAATCGAAGGTCAGGCGGATCACCCCTCAATGAACGTCTCGCTTCTCCATGATCGAATCTGAGCGTAAATACAGGCGTAAGTTCAGGCGAATCGTTTTGAAAATCGTTGAAGGAACAGAATTAATATGTCGAAAGTGTAATCAACTTTTTTGCATAACTGTAGGGAGTAACAAATTAAGTCGTGTCATTCTTATTCACGGTTCACGATTATCTGAACCTACGGAACGGGCGAATGTGATAGGGTGCCATTAATTAACTTCCTGCGGAGAAAACGAAGTTTACGTCTGCACTTACCTACCGGAAGAACACGAATATCCAAACTGTACGTCTAATTAGCGAGCGAGTTTCCTGAGCGCGATGCGTCTCCTTTCCTCCCCGACCGGCGTCTCGCCGATAAGCGATGATGTCTATAGATACATAGACTTACAGCCTGTTTCTCTCGCTTAACGTCGCCAATTAAATAGCCTACCGCCTTTTGAACTTGATTTCAGGACGGAAAGATCGAGGCGGAGGATATTGAGGTCGTTCAGACGCATCTAATCGACTCCATAAAATCGACCCATCCCTCCTTGTCTACCGTTGAAAAAGAGAAATACAAAAGGATGTAGGTATATCCTCAACTTATTCAAATGAATCTGCTAATATACTGTTTTCTGCAGCTACACAAGATTTGCAAAAAATGATAATTTCGTAGAAGATATGATGAAGAATCAGAAGGCTACTTTGGCATGAAGGGAACCAAATTTTCTTACTTATGTACAGTATGTACATAATGTATGTATTAGAGACAAAGAGATATTTTTTCAATAAAATATTGTATATTTTATTTGAATCAAATAAAATCAACCCATGATCATTTTATTCGGCGGATACTTTCTCCTCTATCTGTTTTGGTTTAGTTACGGTTCAAATTGCTTTTCAGTAATTTTTCATTTCACGAAAATCGCGATCCGGGAGAACGGATTTCGGTATACGTATTTTCATTTTATCGGAGATCCTCGTAGTCGTTCACATAGACGCTGCGGGGCCTAGTTTTCCTCGTTTAGCCCGGCATAAGCGTAATCCGGATGCCTGCGTCTCTCAAGAAACTCAGTCTCCGTCGTTGCATGTTGCCACGTTGAAGCTTAACAGCGGCACGGAACTTTTCGTATTAATAATCGGTATAATAATTAGTATTTTCATGCGCGACTTAGCAGGAAGGATGCTCGGCCCGTGTATAAGACAGACAGAGGGAGAGAGCGAGATAAAGATGGAGCCGCTCCGGGAACTTCGGTGGATCTTGATTTTAAGTTCGGAGCGAAGGAGGCGCATATTTCACCGCGCTAATGTCCCGCCAGATAAACTACAATATTAGCTACCTTCGCCCGTGATTTAATTTAACTTTGCCCCGGCGCGACATCCGCCTCTAGCTTTCGGCTGCCTCCCACTTCAACCCGGTTAACCAGCCATCCGCTTCTCCCTGCAACCGCCTCCAACCCTTGCCGCGCGCCGCTGTGTCGACATGTGTTTCTGGTTTATAGTTTTCAGTACCCGGATAAGCGGATTTTCTAAAGAAATTATGCTCCCGTTTTCAAATACCTGTTTCTCATTTCCTTCCGATTACGAGTTCCAGTTCGTTTCTCGGATAAATGATTCTAACTATGACCATCGTGATTCTTGAGTGAGAATTTCATTACTAACATCGCTGTTCAAGTGACAAAAGCGAAGAATACATTGAAGTCGTTTCATAGTTATCGGAGGCCGTTAAGCGTTACGGGGAGAATCGATGAGCGCCGTGGCAAACAAACTTGTACTCGCGTTTATTCCGCGAAGAATTAGGATGGCATTCAGTTCACGTGGAAAATCATGCCGGCATTGTCGCGTGTCCTTCGCTTTTGCGTTTCTGCGAGTTTCCTCGCGACGTTCTCTCCTTCTTCGAGACGTCCGCGTCCTCGGTTAAGAAAAGGCAACGGAACGGTTCTCGGGGATGGCGAGAGAGAGAGAGAGAGAGAGAGAGAGAGAGAGAGACGAAGCGGCAAGTTTTCGAATGTCAAGGTAACGAGATTAGCGCGACGAGAAACGGTAATCAGGAATAAAAATGCTACGACCAACGGCATTTACGCTAACTAATCTCCTTCAAGAGGCGAGGAGGCGCTAACGGAGTTAGGCCCCGCGTTTTCCTCTGCCGCGCGGGGGGTTTTCGTCGCTCCGGCCGGCTTGTTAGCCGGATAATTGGCCATTTTTATGATAAGCAGACCCACGGCTGTTACGCTACCTCGCATTCTCGTTTCCGCTTTTATTACACTCGCTCTTGTTCCAGATTGATCGTCGCTGGTTTTGTCTTCGCAGCTTGAAGAATTACGCTTTTCAGAAACTTTCTATTAAGACGAGTCGAAAACGGATCCACTGCGTTTCATTCCTATGGAATGTTGTTCATCATTTTCTCTCAGTTTTTCATACTAAACGTCAAATTTAACAACAGAGCAAAGATGTCCATAAACGTCGGTTGCAACCGACCTAGAGGCAGGCTGGAGTGGTAGCCGATGGTACCGCCGAATGACATTCTTTGATAAGAACAGCACCCCCGGTCAGTCATGTGTTTTTCGATGAACGCTGTTTCCCTCTCCCTGACTGCCGCGATATTTACGGGGCGCCGAAGCGTGGGTAACGCTGTTTGCCGCAATTTCTTGTTTCCATTAGGTTGGCCGGCCTGCGGGCTAAATTCCACCCTCGCAGGCCCACCTACCCTTCCCGCGGGCTAGCTGGGTTGCGTAACTTCGACGCCGTGGCGCGGGGCGCCGGGGAAATGGTGGAAAACGGGGGTGGCGGATCGGCCGACAAGCCTAGCAGGAGGGAAATGGTACACAGTACACATACAGAGAGAGAGAGAGAGAGACAGGGTGAGAGGGTATGCGAGCGAGAGAGAGAGGACGGCCTTGGCTGTTCGCGATCAAATGACGCGCGCCAGCGCCCACAATAACGGCCTCTTCACGCTTCGCTCCGATCCTATTCCAAGCCCAGGCTAAGAACCCAGACCCTCGCCGAGACCGTTTAACGTTCAAGGATCGAGAATCGGACCACTTGAGTCGAGCCTACGATCGCGGGATTCGATTCTTGGGGTCCGATTCTGGACCACTTCCTTAGGTCTCCAATTTCATCCTCTTTGGTACTGATAACCACGTTTGCATAATGTTTCGTCGCAGTATGCGATTAAAACAGAATGTGTATCGGTACACTAGAGTACAAATAAAGAGTTGTTTTGACAATGTTACGCGTAACTCAATAGAACGTCTGTAACAATAGAACGGAAGGGCTGGATACTTGACGTATATAACACAGCTTCCGGACGTTGCTCGCGATTGAGTGGGCAGCGCTCGTTTCGCGGTAAAAGCACATCGGGCGCCGTCTATTTATCTGGGTCTCCGATAATCGAGTTATCGCTGCTTTCTTTTCATTCGATTCAACCGACATCCGGAGGTATCGCTGACACTTGCGAAGGATCGAGCCACGTTTCGAGTGCAATTTATTTGAAAAACCCTTCGACAGCATCGCTGCACCGCCAGAACCTACCGTGTTTTCGTAGAATGTTTTACGACACATGTAAGGTAACAGAGTGTCTATGTAATTTTTTCAGAATTTCTTTTAATCGTCGTATTCATTAGTAGACAACATTTTAATTGATCAGATTTGTCGCAAGTATACGGCACAATGGGAGGGTCGGAGTATCCGCGAAGCCAACGGGTGGATGAAATAATAACGCGGAGGGAATAAGGTCGCAGCGAGGCGGACACCGCGGGACGAGGGAACGTTGAATGTCGAGTTTTCAATCTACCATTCTATCATTGACAATTTCGCGCAAATGGGATCGCGGTGCAAGGGCGTTGAGCCGTGCTCTCGGCGCACATTGGCGTTAAATAAGAGTAACCCAGCCAGCCTGCCGCCACGACATAATTGCCTGTGAAATCACTAGATGGATTTTGCCTCCTTGTTCTGTATTCTCATTCTGTATTTTTGCAACGCCACCCACCTTCGCCCTACGACCGGGCTGCAATTCTTGGATCGAAACGCAGTCGCCAAATTGTTTTTACCCGCGAGTAGTCGACGGCATTTCGGCGCAAGAATTTCAATCTCTCCTTATAAACGATTCAATCTTGAAAGTATGATGAGCAAACTGTAAGCTAGAATTCTTCAAAAAACGAACGATACGATACTTGATATTTAATCCGTGTATAAAGTTCGAGATCCTTTCTGTTTTTCACTAGTCGCATTCAAAGTAATTGCAACAACAGTAACAACGAGCTTCTATTAGGGGTTAAAGGCGAAGCGGATAGGAAGAGCGGCGGATAAAGTGATTCACGGCAATTAATCCGCCTGTAAATGATAGCATTTTCATTTTCGCTGATGCCCCGTCGCTACGACCAACCCGGAGAATAATAATCTATCTTAAATAACCTGCGGGGTTCAAGCCGCTAAAGGAGAGTCTTCGTCGCTCGAGCCTCGCCGCAAGATGCTCCGGCTGAGGTAAATGGCAAAAGTTAAAGTAATCTCAGCCAAGAATTCAATTACTGGAAGGCGGGAGGGGGTGGGAGGTAAAACGGGTCGAGATTTAAAAACAGAAATTATGTCCGTCGTCGTCCCGAGTATTAGTTACAGAGAGCTTTTTATAAGAAATGAAACAGTTGTCAAGAGTAGACACCAGATTTACGATACATTAAAAAAAATATGAAAAATTCTATATACATGTGTAAGTAATTCTTATAGAACCTGAAAAAAATCTAATTACAAGGACAACGTGTCGTAAAAAGGAGGAAAGAAAAATTTCAGAAAATCGATGGGACGAAGGGAATCGGCAAAGGGTGGAAGAAAATGGGAGAGAAGTTGCGTTTCGCAAATTATTTCTCACAGTGGCAACCGTCCCCGATAGAGGCTCAGGAATCCATGCACCAATGGATATGCAGCGGAGGCAAGCAAAATATAATGCAACGTTCGCTTCTCTCTTCTCTCCGCTCTTCTATTTTCCCTCGTAACCAACAAAGGAGGGATTTGTCGCGAATGCGAAGCTCCGCCGCCGACAAAACCTTACCCTCCTCCTCCGCCACCCCCTTAGCCCGCTCCTCGCTCCTTCTTCACCTGTCTATTCGTACGCTTTGTAAAGCTTTTAGCCCATTACGAGAACGTATACGCGTTCGACTCGTCGATTGATGTAATGCTATTCTTGCGTATTCATGCTTATTTGTATTTCTCCTCGACGTGTGCATTTTTTAATACATTATGCATTGACCGTTTTATTAAAAAACTTTTTTCAATTACAAACAGTTTCATTCTTCGAGTATAACAGAGTGAATGTAGCGGAGTAAATTAATAAATAAATTGTCTGTCTCCATAAATGCGGATGAAAAGTTCTGTAAAGATATCAAATCTGTTTATTTGGGAATTGACTAATCCGAGAAAGGTTCTTTAGTGGATTTGCGTTTCGTAATGGAAATTTTGATGAGATACAACACGTGTAATAATTTGAAGCATTCCAAGAAATCGTTCAGAGATCGGCACCGGTTTACCGTTTGCATATTTTGGAATGAGCTATATAAAGAGGGTCGTCAAAGAAATGGTAATGACAGGCGAGTCTGATCGAGTCCATGCGTTTATTAAGCAATTCGACCGCGTTATTGGCTCTTTCCAGACGTCTGTTGGATAAATCCAATCCCATCATATTTTTATTCGAAACTGGTATCAATATTCTTCGTCAACGATTGAATCTATTAAACTTCTTCAAATCTCAGATTTAAGAAGAAATACAGTACGTATATTCGAGTCTTTTCTAATACAGAAGATCGGACAGCAAAATTTGCTACCAGATAGAATCTCTGGCAAAATCGAATCTCCCTCGGCATCCCTTGATCCAACATCCCTTGGTCAAGGGGTGCCGGAAGTAAAGCGCAGAACAGTGGCACGATTTTTCTATTTTCGCCTGGTGAAAGAAATCACTTGGTTCGGGCCAGAGTCATCGCGATAAGCCGGGCTCGCTGAAAGGAGATAAAATCGATTCTATTTACGAGGTAGAGAAACACCGAGGAAAGAAGAAAGAGCAAATCCTAGTTAACGCAGAGAAGATACGTTCACGCGTCAGCCTCTATTGTATTTATAGATTTCAAAGAAATAAATAATTTAATTCTTAAATAATGAGGATCGATAGTGTGCAGTTAATTCTTAAGGATTCCAAAAGTTTATGTACCTTAGAAAAACGCATTTCCTATAATTAAAAAGAAATCAGACGTCGGAATAACAATGCTAATAAT